GCTCTAAAAGAACGTACGTACCTGGCCCCGCCTACTATCCTCGGAAACGTAAAATGATTGGCTAGAATCCAAAGTGTATCACAGCTCAGGGAAAAAAAGCACCGAAATGTGCGCTGCTTTTCGGTCTGGTTACTACCGTTTATGTCAGAACCGGTGGACACCAGTACCCATCCCTATTCCCGTTTTTAAGCTTTAAATCCAGTTTAGGTTCAGCTGGTTTCCATGGTGACAGTGGTCCAGTTGTTTTGGCTGATGTTGGATAAAAAAGCGTCTCAGCGAGGCTCAGCTGCAGGTTTCCGTCTCTGCTCACCTGTACCTGCAGCCGATGCAGGTACAGGTGAGCATCATGTCTGCGATGAGCAGATACGTGAACAGAAACCTGCTGATTGGTCGTAGCCGGGGAGCCCCGCCCTGAGCGTGGAGGAGAAAGACTGAGCTGGTCTGTCAGTTACAGAGCCTCAGTTTCTCAAACCCTCCAACGTGCGGCGCTCAGACACAGCGTGATGTCATCTGATAACCTGTTTGGTTCGAGGCCCCTGCCAGAGCGCCGCTCGCGCTCTGAGTTTAGATCATAAATGAAAGTCGGCGTGAAACATAACGGATGATTTTCAGGGAGTGATGATCTGTTTGTGCTTCCTCAGGGGAGGAAGAGGAGGACGCTGACGCCGCAGACAAAAAGAAGAAGGGCGTGAAGGCCGGCACAGGAAGCTGTGAAGCATCCAGGGAAGGACTGGCAGCGCCTCAGAGCGACACGGCAACACCTGCCAAGAAGAAAAAGAAGAAGAAGAAGAAGAAGAGGAAAGCTGAGGGAACCACAGAACAGAAGCAAACGGCTCAAGAAGAAGAAGCATGGACGCCGTCAGGAACCCTCCACTCTGAGGCAGCGCCGCCACCTGACCACCAGGACCAACCACAGAAGAAGAAGCAGAAAAGCACAGAGACTCCTCCCACAACAGAGCCGCAGGTTTCATCTGCACACGCTCCCATATCAGAGAAGAAGAAGGGCATAACGGCAGATACAGGAAGCTGTGAGGCATCAAGAGAAAACGTGAGCGCGCCGCCGCCTCAGAGCGACTTTACGACTCCTACTAAGAAGAAGAAGAAGAAGATGGCTGCTGAAGCAGCGCTGCCTGCTGGCGTGAGGAGCTCCGAGTCGGATGAGACACCTGCAGCAGGAAGTGACGCTGTAACACCAGCAAAGAAGAAGAGCGTCCCAGCTGATGAAGAGCAGGCAGCTGAGGCGCCACAGCTCACCAAGAAGAAGACAAAGAAAAAAGGAAAAGAGGAAATGACCACAGGCGTGACCGCTGCTGAGACACCACAGAAGAAGGATCAGCAAGAAGCTCCAGAAGAGGAGGAGGTCCAGAAGGAGGCTAGGAAGACACCAGGGAAGAAGAAGAAGAGCGTGACACAGGAGGCCGCTGAGGCGCAGGTTGGGGGTAAGGCAGGTGACACGGTGGCGTCCTCGGACAGAGAAACTCCCGCAAGGAAGAAGAAGAGGAAGATCCCCGTGGTGTTCGAGTTCGAGGCCGACGAGCTGCAGACCCTGAACGGCATCGCAGCAGAAGAAGAAGAGACCGCCACCAAGAAACCCCGACGCACCAGCGTGAGTGTC